GTCTCAATACTTGGCAATTTGGGAGGTCTGTTTGTAGCAGCTCATCCACTTCAATGTGCCAACCTTACTGAGGATGGCCGTATCTTTCTCTGCTCGGATATCCCAGATTCTTTGTGCAGCCTTCTCTTGAACTTATTCTCCGAGTACGCAAGAGACAGGGAAACCACAGCTCCTAATAGGATTTGTCAGATGTTCAAGGAAAGTGGACTGCAATTGAAATTTTGTTGGTTCTAACAGACCAGGTTTTGGGGTTCTCATTTTCCACAAATTTCATTTTAGATCAATAATAATATTCCCTACTTTTAGTGAGAAAAAAATGAATAGCTTCCTAAATTAGTTCTGAGGGCAGAAGCTAAAGTTCTTTTATCTATCCCTGCAATATTCCTCAGATGCTGGGAATGAGTTTGTACTAAGTGTGAACTATTTTAACTACAGTTTGATATGGGAGCATGGAAATACAGACTTTATTTTTAAAATTTAAGCATCAATTTCACTGAGTCCCCTGCTCTAAAGGTGCTTCATTGAACAAGAGTGAGTTCTGGAGAAAACTAACTTAAATAAGGAAAGATGTTAATTCATTCTATTTACTCACCATCAAATAGCCATCTATGGCTATGATGTTATTTTCCAAACACCCTAACTGTTGATTTTCATTTATTAATTTTAAAACAATTATTAGCATAATAGGAACCAACTCTTCTCAACAACCCAAGTTAAAACTATAATAGTAATATTATAACATCAGCAAACAGGTATTTATCTCTTTAGGCATGCTTACTTCAGGATCATTCATTACTAATGCAGTCATTAAATTTCTAGACTGAATAGCCTACTACCACTTCACAAATGTGCAGAAGAAGCTCCCAAAGCAATGGGGATGGTGCCATGGTTGAATATCTCTGTTTTGATTCCTTTTCCCTCCCCAATATAGATCCCATTCCCGAGCCACGACAGCTACAATGCTTATGGTGAAATGCAGCTCTTCACAGGAAAGACCCAGTTGATTTATGGCTCACCCATCATCACCTCACTCACTCGACCAGATAAAGAAACACACCTGTGGGACTTTGTAGATGTCTGCTATTGTTGATATCTGGACAGAGATGTCCCTGCGAGCTCCATCAATCAGAGCCAGAAGGTTGTCCTTCCTTCCACAGCCGTAGTTGGGGACATTGGCTTCTCCAATGGAGAGAATGTCCAGCAAGGCCTCTGAAGTGACAAGTGCATTCAAAGAATTGTCGTGGATGTTGTAGCCCAATGTGAGGTTGTACAGGAGCTGGGAATTCTTGTTGACCAGTTGAATGGAAAAAATAAAGCACAGCATTTTATTAAGACCAAAAGTTGGAGTCCTGTAAACAAAAACTTTCATGTTATTATCATCATCTTGTACAGAAAAAAGAAAATACTTGTTCAATTTAATCCTCTTTGTCTCCAAAGCCCGGCTGAGTATACTTATACAAAACTAGAGGCAAATGGTAGTTACCCATCACATGCAATTTTAATGTGTGTTTAGAAGATGGGCTGGAGATAGTCCCCCACCAGGGTTGAGAGTCGCTAACATTAATTATAGAAGTACTAATTTTTATCTGCTCATTAAACAGGATTCCAAATAATTTAATCATTAAAGTAGAACCATCATAAAAATGATTTTTGATAAGGGACAAAACCTTAGCAATTCTAAATATAACATCACTTGTTTCTACAAGGATCAGGAGATGCATGTCAATGAGCAGTTATAAAAATATGGAACTGGGCTGGGAAGAGGCCACTATAACTCTTTCAATTATTAAACTAATCAAAAGTTATTATTCAAGTGATGAACTCAAGAATGGATGGGGTTTTTTACAGGTTTTATTCTGCCCCATTTTGGATTTCAGTCTCATCCACAAAATGAGATAAAAGAGGGAAGTCATGAAAATCAAAAGCAGTCCAGAAATTAAATAGGTCCTGCAACCTAGGAGTAAGTAAAATAAGAAGAAAAGAAGGAAAGTGTTAGAAGTACAAATGGAGGGGATGCAACTCCAGCACATTTAATGACTTACACATCTAATTGATGATAAGGAGCTCTGTTGAAAGCAAATGTTGCATACACTATTTTTGATAGAGTGCGGGCCATGCTAATGAGATGGTCTCCTGGCTTGTAAAAGCTCCACGGATTGTCTCCATCCTGATGCTTCAGAGTTAGCGGGCACTTCATTCTCAGCTTCCCAGAGACTGGCTGGGGCACCAGCAGCATCAGAAGGAGAAGCAGGAGGTCCATCATTCATGGGCTGAATCCTGTTTCAATACATGAAGAAGAAGAGTTAGAATTCAAAGCACACTCACAAGATGGAAATGGCAGTGGCTTTCCTGATTCAGAAAGAGAAAATCAAGCTTCATTTGAAAAGCAGAGAAAGGAGAAAACCTGCTTTCCCAAAACGTGTGTCACGTACAGTGACACTCGAGGCATTTATCCTTTCCTGCCACACAATCTCTCCCTGTTTCTTCCCTCTGATGTTTCCATCCAAGGCAGTCACTGGAGAAGCAGCAGCAGAAGTCTCAAAGGCCCAACGGTCATAATTACAGTCTCCATTGTAGTCTTAGATCTCTAACCCCACAGACTAATAGTGCATCGTCCAAATCTTTAAATTCACAATGCAGGGCAGATGATCGTAATGCAGCCACATAGTGATTGATTGATGCTCCTTCAGCCTGATTCCTTTGATGAAACTAATGATGGTGAGCAATTTTAGGAGGAGGTGGGGCATAGTGACTTTTTAACTTTCCCATGAGAGTATCCCAAGTTACAGAATGAATAGATTCTGATATTTAAGTATTTAATAAATTTATAGGCCGCCTAATCTCGAAGGACTCCGGGAGGCTTACAGAAATACATTTCCAAAAATAAAGAATTAAAAATAGAGAGAGAAAAAAACAGATTAAAAGATCACTTCATACACTCAATCTAGGCGGGGTTGGATCTCATTCATGAGGTCAACAGCCCCAGGCCCGCTGGAATAGCCAGGTTTTGGGAGTCTTTTAAAAGGACGTGAGAATGGGAA